CCTATGCATTGACTTAACTAAAAAAAATCCTCACGTCCGTGGACCAAAAAGAAAAACTTAAAAATTTAGAATTTTTCTCTCGCACTATTACTTAGAATTGCGTGATAATTGTAGCACAGAAAAAAATTTGCCAAAAGATCTCAAAACTAGAAACTCAAAGCTTCAAAATGMTTTTTTTTAATCTAGCGATACCACCATTTTTCAAATTGWGGAAAATTTTTTGTTCCTTTAATTAAACACTGATATTTTCGGTAGGGAATTACGATGACAAGAAAATCCGCGACTTGAAAGCCACCATTCGCCGCTTAAGATCAGCCAACCCCCACGACAACGAAAAAATCGAAGAAGAACTGAAGAACATCCTAGACGACATGGGCCTCATCGAAGACGAAGAAAGTCACGGAGTAAAACGTGAAGCAACCGATTCACTAACAGACCAATCAGAAAACGAAAGAAACAAAAGAGACGACTGTAACAACAACAATAACAACAACAATGCCAACAGCAAACCGGCCCAAAACACCGCCACAGACACACAAAGAAACGAAAAAACTGACACTTTCAGCCACCCCACTTTATACAAACGAGAATCGGATGAAACCTACCGAAGAAAAAGGCAAAAAAACGAACTCGTTGATAATCTAAAAGACTCGGGGGACTTGATGCTAAGTGGGAACAAATCGCCGCTAGCTGCAAGCTCCGAGACAGCCAATCAAGAAGCTGATAAAGAAGCAGATAAGAGGTCATCCGATGAGGAGGAAGACTACGAATCGAGAATCGAGCGAGACATTCAAAATAAAATCAATTCATTGAAAGAAGAGGTAAAGAGACAAATTGATGCTTTGAAGAAGAAGCAAGACGACGATGATTATGAAGAAGACTACCAGAGGAAGAAACGTCAAGTTTACGATTCCTTGATGAATGAAGAAACTGATCAGGTGAATCCCGCGATGAATCCAGAGAATGAACTCAAGCCTCTAGTGAGGAAACGAAGAGAAACTGAGTCTTTTGACGATGAAAAAACAAGAATGGAGAGGTCTCCCGATTCTCGCAAACAYGAGGAATACAAGTCCGAAAACGAAAAAGGCGAAGAAGGCGGGGAATTGCTGGGGGATTTTGATGAGGGTGCAGTGGCAAAACGAGAAGTTTTTAATCCAGAGTATGAGAGTTTGGATGAAGGGTATGACAGYAATAAACGCTCGGGGGTTCCCCTAGATTACGAGAATTTTTTCTATAACAACTATTTTTACAATGGCCGGGCCAAGAGGCAAAATCGGGGGCGTTTCGCCCCCTTGAGACCAAACCGGTGGAATTCCCGATTTCGGAGGAGGATTAACGAGGATCAAGGTATGGGTAATAGGCCCCAACAGCTGAGTGATATGTCTGATTTAGATCTTTTTGGAGCGTTGCCGAAAAGTTACGATGGGGAGTTGTCAAGATATAAGCGGGTCAAACGGAAGTGATTATATTTTTTAATGTATTTTTATTAAAGATATTACACAACTGTAATTTTGAAATGTTTATTACACAAACATTTGATAAAGAATGACCTCTCGAACTGATAAGAGATATGCAACACTTCAGGCACGTTGAAATKAAACTCGCAAATGTTTACAAATCATGAAATATATTTTTAAAATTTAAAAAAATAACAACGAAGCATGCAACAATTGACGTTTGTGTCTGAATAAGATTTAATCTAAAATAAAGTATGTATATAAATCTATCAGATATTCAATGGCTAATATGTACAAAAGATGAGATAAGGTAAGTTATGAACGGTTACTTTAACTTTCATTAAACGAGATTTAGTCGATATAGCATTTAGAAAACCTAATGATATATCAAGTACTTAAAAAATATGTACAATTTGCTACATCGAACAAACCAGTCAACTATCATCTAGAAAAAATGACTTAGGTCCACTTAGTTTGATCTTCACACTTTCAATTGACTACAAACATAAGCAAATATACAAAAGTGTCTTTTATGAACTCGATAAATGTAGTCAGCATTCCCATAACCCTCTACAACAAAAAAGATTCTCACTTGAGCACTGAAAAAGACTTAAATTTGACCAACAAATAATTTTAAGCGAAATTGACTCTGAACACAACGTTGTTGTCACTTAAAAGTCAAATGTATTTACACTTAACACAGCTGGGATATGGGTCGTTTCTCCACAAAACGAATTTAATTAACGCAAATCCAGTTTACATCACTGTACAAAAATGATATGTTTTCGACTATTTGTCAGCCAAATTTAGTGAACCGATTTGTGAAAATACAACATTCCATATCTGCGACTAAATAGCACCAACACTCTACGACACACCTTACAAATACTATTCTAGAGACGTTAGAACAATTGGATTTTACAGAGATAATTATTTGCTTTAGAACATTGTAATATTGAGATTCCTTAATGAAAATTTGTCGTTTAAATCGTTGAAGGGAGATGAAAAGAGAGCCATTCATATATTTGAGTATGTGTATGATATACGGATTTAGTTCTACGGAATTCTTACATTGTCCAGTTCGTTTCGTGTTTAATTTAATGACTCACATTGTTGAAAATTACAAAATTTAAGTAAACGGTGTGGACAATATAAAAATAGGGTTCCCTTTACATTAACTTGTGCGCTTCTATGCTAATCTGTACACTCCAATCCAATTACTTAACGAAACGAGAATCATACGCAAAATATAAAAAATTAAAGTACTTCAACATATATTTTCAACGTAAAATAATGATTTAAAAAACCGATATTGCACTACAATGTCACTAAAACATAATTGGCTACCCATTATATACAACACTAAGTATTTTAAAACGATGACTCCCTGTAATTAAGAGAAATAAATAACGAAATCACCTTTTTAAAATAGTCGAATTACGCTTAATAAAAAACTAAATTAAATAATTTGTACAAACACCTATGCATCTAGTTCTAGTACAGATTTGTTTATATTATATAAAAAACATTGCTGAGGTCTTCATTATAAAACTTTTGTGCTTAATTCTACTCCTAAAAGTAAAAAAAAAATAAAAAAACAATTCAAAGTGTGTATTAAAATTCCAAAATTCGTTTTAAAACAGTCTAACTGTTTTTTCAGTCTTTCGTAAAAATGTTCCTATATTTTCCAAATCATTGCAAGCTAATATCAAAAAACGCGAATTTCTATAAAAATTAATTGAAAAACAGTACGTGAAATACCGCCGCACCTCCAGCATTATTACCGCTTCTGGGAAATCACTAATCTAACAATCACACTTAATAGATTTTGTGAAATGCTGTCTTTTGACAATAAGAACCCACTGAAAAATTGGCAGTGAATTTCTGAAAATCAAACGTTATTAGAATTCAAACGTGCTGAAAAACACACCACTGTTATGATCGATGCAACCTGAAACCGTCCTCCACCCCGTCCGGTATAAAATTCATGCTGGGATCGGTCAACATTTGAAGTTCGTCGAAATTCAACGGRTCGAGACTCTCCCGGAGCGATTCTTCCGAGAAAAAGTCGTTCTCCAATTGCTTACTCAAGTCTTGTCGAGATATATCGTCCGTCGCTGATGAAAAATCTGCAAAAAATTACAGTGAAAATCAGTGGCGGCTCGTGACAATATCTACTGAGTCGGCAGTAAAAATTTTGGTACACTCTAGTTGGTCAATATTATTTAATTATAAATAAATATATAATAAATTTGATCACATTTCCTTTTGGATTAACCACTTCCTGGATTGTGTCCATAATGGAAATTATTACCTACGTCACCCTGCTACCTAACACCTAACTGAAACTGAATTAACTGATTTTCTTATATTAAGTTTGTTATTTTAACTTTATGCGTGCGCCAGCAGGATGCACTAGAGTTCCTATATTTGAAGAGTTGGGACACTGAACGTCAAACCGAGCCAATTTTGTATTATGTCCTTTTTCATTAAAATTTTTCGTAGCAACTAATGTCAAGTTTATTTCAAAAATTATTAAAAAAAAAAATATATCTTCGTTATTATAGAAGATACGGATTTGAAATAAAGACATTGTACAGGCACTTTTTACGAGGAATTTTGTAGTTAACTATTTTTTTCAGTTATTGGTTTAGCCGTAATAAGATAAACTTGTATTTTTTTAAATGGAAATCATAGGCGGCTATGGCAATTTTAAAAAGCTTATTTTTTTCTGATCTAAAAAAAATATATATTTGTAACAAAATATTTTTTTATAACTATACTTAAAAAGTGAAATACATATTTTGTGTGATAATAGTTGGCCATGGAAAAACTATTTCACTCCAAATGTGTAAATAATAATCAATAAGAGTTTTGTGAACTGTAAAATAGATGAAAAAATATATAAAATTATAAAGATTTAAAAAATACGATACGTTAGAAGTATTGAACAAATATCCGAGCGCCTCAGAACAAAATTATTACGTATTTTTTAAAAAATCCAAAAATAGGAAAAACAAATGTGTCAACAGTCAACACAATTAGAAAAAACATTTTTTTGATGATCTAATGGAGGTAGGATAACGTTTCACATACAGGGTTATTCATAAATATGAAGCAATATTTGAACCTCAAAAATGACCTATAAAATGATGTTAATTTAAATAATAACTCGTGTTCTATCTCTACTGACAAGAATTTTACAGCCCTCGGAATGTGGGTATGGAAATTTGATTTTTTTGTAATAACTTTGGAACTATTTTACCAAATATTATAAAATTTGGAACATTTCCCTGTGACAACATACCCTTTAAACTGGTAATCACGCAAACCGCACTGCATCCACTCAATTTCCGGTTCCAGAAGTTGCAGGTCACATTTTCTGTGTTTTTCCATTTTTTTGCTCTCTTAACACCAATTTTTTATTGCCCAAATCGATAGAGTAATCAATTTCGAATAAAAAACGCATAACCTTTAATACTCCTAAAATGGACCGTTTCAAAGATATTTTAATTTAAACTGAGGACTGCACAACACTGAAATCAAAAAATAGGGATTTTGAATGGACGATATCCACGGTAACAAATGACCATGGTCTCTCTAATCGCTGTCAGGCATCTGTCAACTTTGACATTGGACGATTATTAGACAATTAATCGAAAATATTTAATAAAAGAGTTTACCTCAGATTCCAAACATAACTTAGAATAAATCCAAATGGATCTCGTAGCATTTAATTCATAAAAAATTCACAAAAATTTATCGTCAAAGTTAACAGATGCCTGGCAGGGATTTATGTGACCATGGTCATTGGTTGCCGTGGATACCATTTATTCAAAATCCCTATTTTTTGATTTCAGCATTGTGCAGTCCTCAGTTTAAATTAAAATATCTTTGAAACGGTCCATTTTAGGAGTATTAAAGGTTATGTGTTTTTTAATCGAAATTGATTACTCTATCGATTTAGGCAATAAAAAATTGGTGTTAAGAGAGCAAAAAAATGGAAAAACACAGAAAATGTGACCAGCAACTGCTGCAACCGAAAATTGAGTGGATGTATCCCGTTTTCGTGATTGGCAGGGATTGTCACAGGGAAATGTTCCAAATTTTATAATATTTGGTCAAATAGTTCCAAAGTTATTACAAAAAAATCAAATTTCCATACCCACATTCCGAGGGCTGTAAAATTCTTGTCAGTAGAGATAGAACACGAGTTATTATTTAAATTAACATCATTTTATAAGTCATTTTTGAGGTTCAAATATTGCTTCATATTTATGGATAACCTGTAGACGGAATTTGGGTATTTGAATAGCCATATCGTCATTTTTGTGTCATATAAAATATATTTTATTGAAGAATTAAAGCGGCTTTTTTTTACAACACTCTATGTGTCACTAGAAGTTGCAATGGTAATGTTAGCTTGTTTAAAAACAAAGAAATGTTATTAGTCGCCAATAAGTTGATTTACAATTTATTTTGCATCTTTTTCATTACTTAGTACTTAGAAAACCCATTCATTAGTGACACTGGTTGAATATAATATAGTTTAAATCCTTTTGGTTGAAGATGCAACATTTTTTCATGGCCAACTGCGAACAAAAATCAAAGATAATTTTTTGCTAAAAATGTATTATAATAATTTGTTGCAAATATATATTTTTTAGATAAGAAGAAAACAAGCTTTTTAAAAATGACATAGCCATCTATGATTCCCATTTAAAAAAATACAATTTTATTTTACTACGGCTAAACAAACAACTGAAAAAAATTGTTAACTACATTATTAAATTCTACGTAAAAAGTGCCTGTATAATGTCTTTATTTCAAATCTGTGTCTTCTATAATAACGAAGATATGAATTTTTTTAGATTTCGCTAAAATGTCAATTTTTGTCTATAAGTCGAAAACAAAAGACGATAGCGGGATGCGGTTTTAACCAATATTATTTTCTCAAAAAATGAGCCACAGAATGTATCACTCGTTTTTGGCTAAACCTCTTAGTTTCGGAGATTCCCTATTCGGTCATCCAAAATGCAGCATCCTGTACATGTCAAAATTGATCCTCGGAATCCGACGATGGTAAACACCGTCATTATTAACTTTGATAAAAAAAAATAATTAAATTATGATTATGTAAATTCATTGTAGGTACGTAATAGGGTTCCAAATAAAAGTACTCGTAAATTAAGATTAATACTAAATAGAAAACAGAACTGTAAATACTAGATTAAACAAAACGTAAAATAATTGAAATAAATCCTGAAATCCGTTTTATGCGAAAATGATAAACGACTAGTGTGAGACTTACCAGTTAATATAATATCGGGTATACTGGTGGGAGTATTTGGTGTGGTATGCAGACTTGGCGGATAAACGAGTTGCGATGGTGATGTACTGTAATATCCTGGATCGGATGTCAATTCTATACTACCAACTGTCGACACTTCTGGTACAGTTTGGGCATGCGTTGCTGTTAACTGACCGGGAGATTGGTCTACATAGGATACGCTACTAACAGGTGGGTCCAACTGACAACACAAAAATTATGTTACCTTATTGATACCTCATTTTTCAGCGGCGACTAAGTTAAAGCTTACACATTTCTGGATTTTCGATACAAAGAACAGCTGAAAATATAGGCGAGACTGTGTTTTTATATACAAAAAAAAACGGTTGCTGTGCAAAAAGCATTAATTGTTTAAAAAGCAAGCAAGTTCTTCAAACTAACTGAGTTATTGCTTGGTTTATTTTGCTTTTGTTAGGATAATTTTTAATAAAAAAACAACACTTTTTATAATTTTTTAAGGTCATAGGTCTCTTATTTTTCGTTTTCTCAAGCACGCGGTGTAACGAAAAGAGTAACCTAAGATTTCGCAGGTCAAAATAAAGCGATTTAACCCAACTTACCTCTATACCAAGTTGRACCGTTTCAAAGTTAGAGGACGCCTATGAAATTATGATTTTTTTGTTTAAATTCATAATTAAATACATTAACTTACACAAACACTAAAACTTATATTTTTTTTAATACAATTTTAAAAACAATAATAATAAATGGCCAACGTCCAAAATTTTAACAGTTAAATAATTTTTTTTTCAACTTTTGATATTTGAATTTTCCGCCAGTTTTCACCAAAACAATTTCAGACTTAAACAATAAAAAGCTTTAATTGTTATTTTAAAAATAATTGTCTTGTTTTTTTATAAGTATAACCTGTTTTTTAAAATATGTGTTTCAAAGTATTCTCATTTTTTCATTTTTGTTTACATACATAAACCAAGTTTCACCGACTTTTGTTCACTTTTTATTACCGAAATGTGCCACTGAGATAAGTCAAGTCAAAGTAACTTTTCAATAATTAAAGTTATTTTATAAAATGTGACTGATTATTTGCCACATTTTAATGCAAAGTATAGTTGCATGAACCAAATGGACAAATTAGTTTGATTTTTGGTATACAGATGAGAAACTTATTATTATAATCATAAGTTTTGGTTTTCTCTTAATAATTGAAAAAAATGATAGTAAGTTCCTAAAGTCTCATCTACTTAAACTATTTTTTTACTCTACAAGCAAGGCCGATACAAAAATTTTATAAGATGCAAAAATTGTTTAAAAATAATGTACCTTTCGAATAAAAAAAGAATTACGCCACTCGGATTACGCGTAACAAAAATATGGCTTAAAATGTATCAAGTTGTTAATAACAACAATAAAAATAAAAGAAATAGCACCAAAACATGTCAAATTGCCTGTACTAAATTTTAACTTTTTTTTAAAAACTTTTTAACTTTTAAACGGTGCAACTTGGTATAGAGATAAGTTGGGTTAAATCGCTTTATTTTGACCTAAGAAACTTCAGGTTACTCTTGATCCCCATCTTTTCGTTACACCCTGTATTTAAAAACAAAAAAATAAAAGTAACCAATTCAAGATATTCTATTAAAATTCCTTATACAGTCCAAGTCCAAGGCCTACAAACTTTTAGAAACAACTAGAAAAACAAAATAAAAACAAAAATTTTCCAAAAATAAAAAGTAATTCATCATTTTTTGATTAAAAATGGAAAAATGGTAAATTTTTATTAATGATACTCCATAGGACTTAAAAAAAATTGAAAAATGAAAAATATTCCTTGATTTTAGGTTTGTTATTGCGCTATGCATCTAGTACCGGGTGACTATAAATGATTGCGATTTTTTACTTCAAGTTGGTGTAAATTTAAAATTTACAAACTTTTTTAGACTGCTGATTTACCCGTTACCTGAAACATTCTGATATAACAAATTAGAAGGTTTACCAATAATTCAGTGTTGCCAATAGATTTTTTTGCCACAAACATTAAAAGTCACCCGGTATATAATTAATTTCTCAAATGAAATATTACGAGTAATTCTTTTTAATTCTTAAAATAAATGTTTACGAACCGTATGACTAGAATTACTCATAATTACCATAATCAGCTGTTCTTTTAATGTATCTCTAGCAATTGCATGTAATAAAATAATATCAACACTGACAATAATAATAAGTATAATGATAATGAAAATATAAATAAAAATGTATAGTTCATGCTTAAGAACATAATACCATTGCGAGCAAAAATTTGTTCCTTTGTAAAATCTAAAGTATTTTTTTGCCCACCGTTGGTAGAAATGTATGATCAAAATATTTTTAATGCTTCAATTTAGCTAGTGCGACATTTTTTTTTCTTTTATTTTGATCATACCCATTTGAATGCAAATGCATCTATGTATTTAAATAATCCCATTCCAATATTTATTATTTTGTCATTTTTAGAATTGTGATTGGAATTGGAATACGTATTCAATTACTAAACACTATTGTATAAAAAAAAATGAAGCATCATGCTGAAAAAGTTGAGCTGTTTAATGAAACTCTGTATAAACCTTCTAAGAAAAATAAGTACACAACAAAACCTAAGCACTAGCTCCTTAAAACGGTCCTTATCCACACATCACGTGTTTCTGAAACAGTATTAGATTGAAATTGGATGCAAGACCGTTCAAATAAAATTGATAAAGAATAAGCCACATCGAGCAGAAAATGTTAGTAAGATAACGAAATAACCGAAGAAAATTTTGATAGTAATGTTAGTCACCTGCAATTGTGCGCTCCAGGTGCAGCCTGACTCCAATAGGCTAGCCACCAACTGCGCCCAATCCTGACAACATGCGTATTATTATTAAAAAAAAAAAACAACACATGCGAAACAAGTTTTAWAATTTCATCGGATTGTAGTGACTTTTTTCTACATTTTTTTTTCCTTCATCACTACAGTTTCTATTAAACAGCACAACAGACATTTAACTCCTGCTCATCTTCCAATTATTCTAATCTAAAATTACCTAATGATGGACTCTATTCAGTACTGCTTACATAAAATGTATGAAYTGTATGAAACATTTTGATGTACATGTTATGATCTGTGACATCGTATAACAAACATGACTTACCACTCCCTGTTAGCACACAACAATATAACAATCTATTATTACAGACTTACTCACAAATCAACAAAAATACAAAAAATAATAAACCGCCTCTCAATTACTCTACTACCTTTTCTTTTTCAATAATTTTAAGTTCTAATCGTAACGTCCTGTTTGTTATTATGAAAAAAAATGCCATCAATGATGAATGAAGCAAACCGATGATTGGTTTTTACTCACCATCGATAATTGTTCGAAATGTTGTTGAAATTGATTCGCTTGGTGTTGATTGAATATATTATTATAATCGTTCGGCAGTGGACTAGGTGCTCCAGGACTACAAGGAGCCGAATGACGTCCCCCTAAACTAGGCGATGACTGGGGACTCGGTCGTGGACTTCGATAACCGGACGCTTGTGGTAACTAAAAAACGCAAAATCATAACGTAATTAAAAAAAAAATAGTATGTGACATACCGTTGGAGAAGGTGAAGTAGGTGGGCATTGTTGCTGATACATTCCCTGAATTCCGGTTAATTGGGTAAGATCAGTTCCGTCTACTAAGCCAGCTATACTTTTATTATTCACCGGCACATTCTGAAAATTTAAATTGATTAGTTAGAAAAGTTAATTAAGTCGAATTTACATTAAAAAAAATTTTTTTTTCAAAAAATCAGAGACTGGTTCGTGGGTACGAAAATCTAGAATCGAGCTGACATTGTTTTGAAAAACAAGCCTTCATAATTATTATTAATTTAAAATAGTTTTTAAACTAGTAAATAACTTTTCATTTTTACTTTTTTATTATTTAAAAAAATATCATAGTTTTTGTTTATGAGTTTGCGTGCATTTTTATTAAAAAATAAAACGACGTACAGGGTGTTCAAAAAAGATTGTAAAATATTTCAGGAGATAATAGTATAGACCAAAATAAATAAAAAAAGTCTTAATAAACATAGGTAAGCAAAGTAATGGTTTTGGAGATATCGAATAAGAAAAATTTTAGAATTTTTACTAGTATCTATTTTGTTTGAACAGATTGCAAATAATGTTTCAAAAAACAAATAATTTTCGATATCTCCGAAACCGTTACTTTTCTTTGATTAATTTGACTTTTTTTTGTTTGTTTTGGTCCATACTATTACCTCCTGAAATATTTTACAATCATTTTTTACCACCTGTATAGTGTCCCCGGATAGGTGAAAAAAATTCTCTATTGAAATTTTCATTTTTTGGGGTTCGACCCTGCTTGGTTAAACATTAACTTCTAACATAATATTAGTTTCGAAAAATCAAGTAAGCCTTGAAAATAAAAATATTTATATAGCAAATACGACAAAAAGTTATTAAGAAAAGTTGTTTAGAATCAATATTTATTCCCCTATACCAAATT